CTCAACAAGATTGTTGAATAATAACCAAAAATAAGATACAATACATTGAAAATGACAGTGTATTTCGAACTCCGTTACATGTAGTCAAGTTCTGTTGTTTAGAGACGGAACCATCGCTCGTCTGCGGTACGAGTGACTCTACAACGGCCTCAGCTGCACCGACAACTGAACTCTGTCCACAACTAACCGGGAGTTTGTACTTAGGACCACAGCATGTATTTATTGTACACTAAAGTACTAGAAGGGTGAATTCTTCCTGTATGTACTGTGAAATATGGAGATTGATCACATAGATGTAAAGTAGGTCTCATTATTCGAATGTGACATATGTCGAATAGACCTGGAACAATATTTTGTACATAAAACCTTTGTGAATCAATGCAGTGTGTCCTGTCCTTTGTCCCTTCACTGAGACTTATGGACAGTACTTTGCTGAGACACATCTGTCTCATCAGTGTGTTTTTAATGAACAGAACAGACCTCAGACCAGCGTCCGTCTGTAGACTTCACTGCACAAAGAGTCAGAAACACTCATGAGACATTTCAACCTGCCAGAGAAGCAAAGAACGTTCTTCAAAAAGGTGCTTTAGTAACTTTAGTGTGAAAATATTCAGACGAAGAAGAAGAAGAGACTGACAACGTGGTTGTAAAGTTGTTCATCAAATGCTGATCAGAGATGAGAAGCACTCTTGTGCCTCTAGAGGGAAACATCACGCTGTTTCATCACACTGAAGCTCTCCTCCATTTTAAACGTGTCCTCCTGTGACTGTCCACAATGTGATGTCACTTAAGGAAACTAAATAATAATATTGTTCTCATAGGGAGACATATTATTATTGAGGGATATATGAGGGAAGAACCGCAGAAACCTGTGTTTGCCACATATCTTAAATCCTTAAAACAAAAATAAATGGATTTAACAAGATGGATAATATGTTGTCACAAACAAATACAAATTATAACAATAATACAAAACAAAAAATGAAAAAAATCCAAAGAACAATTCAACAAAAATTATGCTCAAGGAAAGCTTGTTTTCACAGTGCTGGTGTTTTTTCCTCCTTGGGGGGTTGCTGAAGGAATTACAGTTTGTGTTCTACATTCAGTCACTTTTTACTGTACGCAAGCAGGGTTCTTTACTGGCTGTTCTTACCCACAATCCTTTGCACAGCAGATAGATGAGCCAGACGGTTCAAGCTGCCGTGTAATGAGGAAGTAGTATGAAGCCCCAGTTGAATCCTGCAGGTCACAACAAGTACTTTGTGAGGAAGCTGCAGTTTGTCATGAAGGTAAATGGTTTAACACGCAGCTTCACACTGATACTTGGGTAAGTTGCTCCGCCCCAACAGGTTCAACCTGATCATCAAAGAGTGGAGTGAAGAATGAAAACACTCTCAGGTCAGGCCGAGACTTGTCTTAGTGAATTCTTTAGTAAATATAAACTCTATACAGCATTTGTTACAAAGGTTTCTGCTTCATGACGTGTTCCTATAGTCTACATGTAGAAGAAGACCAAGTGACAAAGAGGATCGTGCAGGGATCCTCTAAAGTATCCGGTCCAAACAACAGAATCCAGTGCACTTTAATTTGATTTTTTAAACATTTTTAACTTTTTAACTTTAACTCATATTCCTTGATTTTAAACTAACCAATAGCCTTATACTACAAACCCATAGCATTATATTTTATTCCTCGTGCACTGTTGTCTTGTCGTCCATTGGCGTACTGTCAAATTCCTTGTACGTCTGACATATTATGGCAATAAATGTTTCCTGATTCCTGATTGCTGGATTATTATAGGCCAGGTGCTGGTTTGATCCTGAAAGACTCTAGTTTGAGCAGTGAAGAGGATTCTGTTCACGAGGACCTTTGACCCTGTGAGCACAGCTCAGACTGAGACTCAGTCAACCAGTCGGACTGCACACTTTGATGGTCACACCCTCTCTGATGAAGGACGACAAGCTGCGTCACTTCACTCCGTCTGATGGAAGCTGAAGTGAAGCACGGAGCTCCTATTCTACACGGACCTGCTGAGGACTGAAGAAAGCTGCTCACTGAGGAACTTCATGTCTACAAGTTCAGTAAGTGGAGCTGTGATTGGTTGAATGACATCATTGATGGTTGTGAACGTGTGATTGTTTAAAGCTGGGAAACAAGATGGCGCCTGTGTGAGCAGGCAGAGAGAAGCTGCTGTTACTCTGAATGATGACACTGATGAAGAAGAGGAGCTCAGTCTGATCTGGGGTCTGTGAGGACTGTTACTGATGAGGAGGGGAAGGTAACTGAGAGGGGCACTAGGACCCAGCAGGGACCACAGAGCTCACCTGGGCCTTTGTTCCTGAAACACACCTGAGAGACGCTCTGTTTGTCTCACCTGCTGATTCAGTCCTTTAAGTCCACAAAGCTTCATGTTCATTTCTTCATCTGCTTTAAACACATTTAGTCACTTTTTAGAGTGTTTGAATGTGTTTGTGTTTTCTTTAGTGTTCAGTTCTTCTCTCATTGATCAGCAGGTTGTAGTCAACCTTTAACTAACTGATCACATGGTGAAGTGAACCATCCCATCAGGAGAAAGCTTTCCCATGTTACCATAGTAACCACAGTGTTTCCTATCAGGACAGCTACATGTCATCTTACTGGTCTGTGTTTTACTGACTTCTGGAGTCTGAAGGAGATCAAGAGGAGAAAGAGAACAGCTCCACCTGCTGGAAGACGACTGATAATATTCATCTTGTAAAACACTACATTTACAGGATGAGCATTTAAAACGAAATCTCTTGACACGCTAATATGGTTTAAAGAAAGTAAAAGAGAGTTTGTCTTCCTCCAGAAGTCTAAAATTTAATAATAGATGACATCAACACAGAAAGTGTCCCATGAGAGTTTTAGTATTGAGGTGAATGAGCTCTTTGTTTTTGTCCTGATGAAGATAAATAATGTGTGAGCTCTCCCAGCAGGTTGTTGTGGAGGTGTGAAGGTGTGGACTCTGCTATGGATCAGGGTGAGGACCCAGAGGAGGGAGTCCCTCCCTCTGAAGCCTCTCTGTGTGGGGAACATGACACCCAGACCACAGCTCAGAGGTGAGACGACCATCTCCAACTGTCCTCCACTCTTCTCCATGTCCCAACGTCTTTGATTCACTCACTCTGGTTCTACATGTGTGACCAGGATCCATCAGAGACCAGGACCTGGACCCGCATCTGGATATGAACCTGATCCTGGACCTGGTCCTGAACCCAGCTGTGTGTCCATGAAGAGTAACCGGTCTAAAGATTTTCCCATCAACTTCAAACTTGGCCGCCCCTCTGTTCATGCAAGGTGAGGGTCTCATGCTGATGAGATGTTTCAGACTCTCGGGTGGAGGTTCTGGGTTTCTTGCTCCAGGGCCCTCCAGCAGTGTCCAGTGAGGGAGGGAGAGCTCCATGGAGGACTTGGTGAGACCTGTTGGTAATAAACCAAACTGACTGGTGAAGAAAACAGTGAGCTAAAAGACTGAGCTGCTGATTCTCAGTGGGACCAGCAGGACCAGTAGACCTAAACCACTACAGCGGGTCATGTGGTCCACATCCAGACATCACTTCATGAACCTTTACCTTGTTTTGGTCTCTGTGAGGACGGACACCATGTGAGCTGATGCTTCATGATTAAATGATGATGTGATGATGTAATCTCAGTGTTTCTTTCAGTTCACATCAGCAGAGAGGAAAGTCTCCTGAACCCAGATGTTTGTCCATGAAGAGTGATCGGTCTAAAAATATTTGGAATAACTTCAAAGATGGATGCCGTTCTTATGACCCAGAGTAAGTTCTTAAGCAGATGAAACAGATGAAGAATAATTCTGATGCTTAGTTATGAATTACAGAAATGGTCGTGCATCGTTTAAAGTGTTGTTTTCATGACGAACAATCATGAGAGAACTCGTTATCTTTATCTAACTGGTCTGTATGTATTGACAGAGGTGTCAAAAGTATTCACATTCATTACTCAGTAGGAGTACAGATACTAGGGTTTAAAAAGACTCCTGTAGAAGTTGAAGTACCAACTCAAGCTTTTTACTTAAGTAAAAGTATAAAAGTACTGGTTTCAAATCTACTTAAAGTATAAAAGTAACAGTGATGTAAGAAATTCCATTAAGGACAAAATCTTAATGTGTAACCTCGCTCAAACAACACGTCAGTCCGTTACAATGTGATCAGAAGGCGCTGCAGATCACGTGACCTGCCGTTGAGGATGGTGAAACAACAACAACAACAACAAATGTATCTGACTAAACAGATAAAACCACAACCCATTTTCCAGTGACACGAGTCACACACATGTTATTGCATTGATGAGGTAGACTGCAGTGTCTCCCCGAGGTTCACTACGTCATGGGGGGGGGCACCCCTGTTTATAATGATGGGAAACACTGAACTGGCAGCGGTCGGTTAATAAAACATCAGCCAAATTACCAGAATGTTCAGGCTTCAAGAGCAAATACAGAATCCCTTTGTGTTCATTTCCAAAGCCGCATTAAGACACACATCACTTTATTTAATACGCTGCTTGCAAGTCGCTGTGTTGTGCCAGACTCTCAATAAAACATTTAGGACAAACCCACGGTCATGAAGACACTCATTTAACGTCACATGGAATTGCGTGAGGAAGAGGAGGAGGAAGAGGAGGAGGCTCCATGTCGCGAAAATACCAACTTTCCAAAGACCACTTTTCCCACCCGGTGTTGCTCCGATCTGCCGGCGCATCGCGGAGAAAACCAATCGGGTGTCTGGATGCTAAATGTTTATACTTCTCATCCAAACACAATCAAATGCACTCTGTCCGCATAGCGACATTTATCTAGATGGCTTCTTTTTGTCTTTTTTTTGTATATTGACGCCCAGTCGGAAGTAACGAGACAAGTTTTAAAATGTAAGGAGGAGAAAGTACAGATATTTGCGTGAAAATGTAAGGAGTAGAAGTGAAAAGTCCTCTGAAAAATGAATACTCCAGTAAAGTATAGATAGGCAAAATTTCTACTTAAGTACTGTAACGAAGTATTTGTACTAACGAAGTATTTGTACTTCGTTACTTGACACCTTTGTGTATTCAAGGGTGAATCATTAACCTTAAAACCTTCTCAAATGTAAACTTAATGTGAGCTAGTTCCTCCACATCAGGATCAGGACCAGCTGGCGCGGTCGCTGGACTCCATGCAGAGGTTTGGAGACCTTTTCACAGAGTCAGCAGACTCTGTTTCAGAGGATCTAGGAGACTAGAGGTCAGGGGACGGACTAAAGAGGTTCAACTCAACTAATAAACTGTCTTTCCAGTCTTCAGCATCTGGTTTTCATGATGATCAGTCATGACAGAAGCCAATATCTTTAACTAACTGTTGTATTGGTGCTGATGGTACAAACACCATGTGAGCTGATGGTTCATGTTCCTCCACAGAGAGGACCAGGAGAGCTCAGAGGTTCCCACAGGTCCGTCTGCCCAGCAGCATCAAACATATCTGGACTCCATCTTCATGGTGTGTACATGTACAACTACTTTTACATATCTCAGTTCACCATCATCTCCATGCTGCACTTTGTAGACCAGTGGATTGTCAGTCTGTCCAACATGGACCTGATGATGGCTTCCATGTTATAGTTTGTGTTATTCATAGAATATTTCTGTTCCAGCTGCTGGAGGAGAACATCCTCACTTTTGTGAAGAAGGAGCTGAAGAAGATCCAGAATCTTGTGCGTTCAGATTACCCACAATGCTTAGAGAGTCAGTGGGAAGATGAGGAGGTGCTGGATGAAGAGAAGAGGAGGAACAGAGAGGCATTTGTGAAGATCTCAGTGCACTTCCTGAGGAGAATGAAGCAGGAGGAGCTGGCTGACCGTCTGCAGAGCAGTAAGAGGATTTCTCTACAGACTTGCCATGCTGATACATGAGACCTTCACTAATGTCTCAAGAGATGGACGGAATATATTCTAAATATACTATTTATAGTTATTCTCTGAGGAAATTACATGTTGAAACATACTATTTTACTCCTTGATCTTCTTTATTGTTTTCATTCAGGACTTCTTGCTGCAGTTTGTCAGCGTGAACTCAAATACAAGCTGAAGAAGAAGTTCCAGTGTGTGTTTGAGGGGATCGCTAAAGCAGGAAACCCAAGCCTTCTGAATGAGATCTACACAGAGCTCTACATCACAGAGGGAGGGACCGCAGAGGTCAATGAAGAACATGAGGTCAGACAGATTGAAACAGCATTCAGGAAACCAGCCAGACCAGAAACAACCATCAGACAAGAAGATCTCTTCAAAGCCTCAGCTGGAGGAGAGGAACCAATCAGAACAGTAATGACTAAGGGA